TGGCTGGAGGACATTCAGCATCATCGAGTCTTTGCTCTTCAGCCTTACTGTACCTAGCCTACTAGACCTGCAGCTAACGATCATTTTCAAAATCGATTAGTTAGCCGATTATTAAGTTCGGTTAATCGGATAAAAAAATACATTTTAAAAAATGGCTCCAGTGATGGGACTTCTAGTTTGTATTGAGATTGCAGCAAGCTTGGAGCAGTGGAAGTTGAAGCCGATTAATCGATTATTGAAAAAGTTGACAACTTTTTCAATAATCGATAATGTCGATTAGTTGTTGCAGCCCTATAGCCTACCCCTTTCATTAATTGGATTACAGTTGTTTCAATCATGTAGGCTCAACATCAACTATGGGCATTGATGAGGGCAGTCTCTTCCAGACTGACTTCCACCCACGAAGGTATTCTGATAGTTGCATAACTTCTCCCAAGAGCCAGGCCACTGGCAGAATTAGAGCACCTTTGAATTAAAACTTCTTTCCCAGCTCAATACAATGCAGAGCATTGGCGTGCATAGGTCCTGTTGCATGTGGCAGAAAATACAGCAATGCCTCTGGGGTGGACAAGCCCTCCAGCAAATTGGGGACTGGTTGTGTCTCATTTTGATACTCTGACCAGAGCACTAGTAGACCTTCTGTTCTGGGCCTTTTATTCTTTAGCTAGCTGTCTTGTCTTGCATTTCTTCATGTATATCTCTTGTGACAAGAGCATTTCTCTTACGTCTTCCAGAATATATGCACAATATGATAACCATGTTTCTAAATAGCATTCCTACGAGCTTCCAGAGAGGTTAAACGGGGGTCGTCATGTGTAAGTGATATCTTCTGCTGACATTTGTGCATTTTAGCACATAGATCATCTCCTTCTCCTGTAACCTCGCTGATTACTGTACGCTGGGATACTCCATTATACAATCAGTCTGTCCTGAATGAAAAGAGGAAACGTCACTTCTGAAAACATTATTATTTATGCGATGTGTTGTTTATGGATTGTGTCAGAGAGGTGTGGATAATGTTGACGCAAACCAGATTTGTCGTTGCACTTCCTGGCTTACATGGACATTCACTGCTGCTGATTAATGGAGGAATGTTAATACAGAGGCGTTTTATATAGCCTCCAATCAGAATTAGGCCATCCATAAACATGCTGATCTCTGTTTGAGGTCTACCCATGCATGTCCCCACCCGCCAAGTAATTTTATTGTTGCATATGGCTGGTTACACCCCAACAGACTCCCCTTCATTGATGCATGTATTCCAAACACTAAGGCTTAAAGAACTCCGGGCAAAGAAAAAACTTACCCTTGCATTGGAGCTACCCCTGCACTGCAAGGGTTACGTGTTCTCGGGCTATAGAATGTGCTTCAGCATCCTCATGTCTAATGCAGGTCAGTGGACCAGCATACGATCTAATGAAATCAGTGGTCCTTAGACTGCCGGGGCTAAGAGGAGAGAGGCTGTGGGAACTGGTCTAGTAGACTGAAAGGAGCAAGCGGGACCAAGGATCACGTAAGTAAAGCAGCTTTATTTAAGTCCCCTAGGCCCGAGTACTTACCCTTTGCAGTACTTTGTAGCCCCATTGCATGGGTAAGTTTGTTTGCCCAGAGTTCTTCTTTAAAGTAAATCTATTACGGAGTTTAAAAAAAATCACAAAGCTGGGCCTGCAAAAAGAAAAGGGTTTATACCCTACTGTCCTGCTGCCCATTTCTCCAATCTTTCCTCTGTTCAAGAGCTACAGCCACCTTAAGAATTTCTTCTTTAGATACGTCCAGCATTGTAGGATACCTGCAACCCCCACCGTGTGTTGTGGTTCCTTCCCCTATACTCTACATCACTTCGATCTCCTTCAGTGATCAAGAGAACAGATCTATACCATGCATCGGAGGACCAAGCATCTGACACAGCCAATAGTTTGTTGAATGTGAAGAGGTCATTGCTGTGTAAGAGAGTAAAGGTTGGAGGAATGGGTGGCAAGACAGATGAGTATAAAAAGTCTTCATTTGCAGGTCCTGCTTTGCCAAATGTTTTTAAACTCTGCCCTAGTTTTTGCGTGAAACATGTCAGAGAAGAGGGGAATGGCGGGGTGTAACTAGCTATATAGAGCACTAAAGTTGCTTTTTGGCTCATGAACAGGAAGTACGGTTTTTTGTTTTTATTCTAGAGGACGAGATAAGTCCCGGGTTGCCAGCGTCCATTGCTGGTAAATACACTTTTTGCAAAGTGATGGTGAGGGATGGTTACCTTTTCTATTAATTCAAGACCACAATTGCTGTATCTTCTCTGAGCTTTTCCTACATGTCACAAAGGTTTTTGTGTGCGATAAGAAGATCTTCAGGAGCATTTATTATTGCTTGGAGAATAAAACTCTTGATTGTCACCAATGGTGCTTACAGGGTTATTAAACCCTAATTTATTTTTGCATATATCTACTGCTAGCAAGTAGTCTCCTCCGGGGAACATATCACATGGTAACAATGCATGGGCACAATTGTGAAACAGTTGACACCCTTTAACGGGAAGTATCTAAACAAAGACCGTTATGGCAGGATCACCAGGGATTTTTCAATGAAAGCTACAGATTTAAAAGGGTTGGAAACAACTTTTGAAATTATAGTAAAATGTTGAAGCTTATATAAGACTTTAGTAATTGGGTTTAGATTTACTTTAATTGGCGTTTGAAATTTTAGACACACTTAACAAATCCTTAAAACCGAAATCACAAACTTTTATTTTAATTAAATTTCGATTCTAACTAACAAATCAGAGAGTAGATGGATTGGAGGTTTATTAGAGTTTGATGAACCTCAATGACTCTAGACTTTCCAGCGTCATAGCAAATGTTCAGTATTGAATAACAGTCATACTTGACTTTCCATTTGGGTTATGCACTGTAGGTGAACTGTATTCTGGGAAGACATTATCATCTTCTGCCCTTGTTCAGTGTTCTGGAGTTGCCCCTTGAGAAGCAGATGCTGGAATGCAGCCATAGATCTTTTTAAGGTCATGTTCAGGTTTTCCAGAAGAAATTAGTTGTTCATTTTTGTAGTAAATGTGATATAATATATGTCATCAAATTCTGTCCTGAGGTCAGTAAAATCCCCTGTGTATCTGACCAGAACATTGACTTTAAGAAAACAGCGCAACAAAAAGCTTTCTGTTTCTCCAGCACTTCATTAGCTATGTCTTGACAATATTATCAATATGTAAGCTGATGTTTATAGTGGACCTTTCGGCAACTTTTACAAATACCTGTATATCTTATTAGCTTTATTTGTATATTGTACAGCATGTTTCCTGTTAAAGTAAATGTTAAGTGATTTTAAACACAATTTGTTCCTTAAAAGATTATGAAACAAAAAAATTATAGAATTGTAACAATTAGGGATGCACAGATACTTTTCGAGTACCAGTGCAGATACTTGGCATTTTAATGAGAACTATCAGGGTTGCAGCAGTTGCAGCTGGGACCGGGCTCTGGCTCTCTACCACCGTCCTGAAACCATTATTCTGTATTGTTTTAGAAAAACTGTCACATGACAATAAACAAAAATGTATCAGTACTCGTACTTGTAAGTACTCGGCAAGTACCAGTACTTGTACTCGCAAAACTGGTATCTGTGCATCCCTCTATTTATATTTATAAAAACAAAATCTTACATTGAAACAGAGATGTACAAATCCCAGGAGCTCCATGTGCTCCTTACAAATGACAGCTGCCTCCTAATTTTTGAATTTTTCTCTATTGTAGTCTTGAAGCTCATAAGTATCGGTACATGTACTCGTACTTGTACCAAGTACTATACTTGGTATCTGTGCAACCCTAGTAACAATGATTTCATTTTAGTCACCTATGTTGTGGAGTGCTATTATTTGAAATCTGAATCTCACTATTCAGGGGAGCTTTACTCCCTTTTATATGGGTTTTTGCCACTGTGGCTTGCATTCGTACTTATAATCCACATTCAATATATATATATTGTCAAAAAAGACAAAAACGCAGTATTGCAGTGTGCAATGATACCTTTCTTATTGGACTAACAAAATATATACATTTTGTTATAAATCTTTATACATTTTGTTAGTCCAATAAGAAAGGTATCATTGCACACTGCAATACTGCGTTTTTGTCTTTTTTTTATATATATACACATTTTTGGCTGAAAATGCAGTGTATCTCTAGTTTCTCTCCTCCTCGCTGTGCACTGCTCTCTGTCCCGTTTAGGAGGCGGGGAGGATAGCGATGTCAGTCACAGGAGGCCAAACGGGGCGGTGCAGGAGGAAATGGTATGTTTACTGTGTCCCCAATTATGAATGAATAGGAAGTGCTCTACATTACTTCCTGTTCATTCATAATTGTGGCCATAGTAACTGATATTATCTCTACAGCTTATGAATGGACAGGAGCACTCAGTATAGAAGCTTCCTGTTCATTCATGACAGGGGCTGCAGAAAAAGAGACTGAGGACTCTGTGTCCTCAATCTCTTTTTTTCTATGTTAAAAGGGAACTATCGGGGGTCTGTTTAGACCCCTGATATTTCCCCACAGCTCCTGACAGTAAAGAAAAAAAATGAATAAAATATTTTAAAACATTTTTTAAAAGGTTAGAAAAAATTTTTTGATTTCAGTTTTCAGTCTGAAAATTCCATTTCAGTGCACCACAACTTTTTATAAATATGGTAAAAAGATGTAAAACCAGAGTTTAATATATAAATTGAAGAAAATAAAATTAACTCAAAACCTTTATAGTTTTCCATTACTGTAAGTCAGGGCTCATAGTATCACTATACGGACATACCTTCCTTGTTATTTAATGCTGCCGTTTTCCAGTTAACTGCTTGTTTTTGGGTTTTTTCCGTAATAGGGTAGATTTATGAAACTGAAGGATAGTTGGGTACCGTCATTATGAGTTAGGTTCTACCTTGTAATAGCAACTGCAGTTTCATTGACTGAATGTATAAAATTAAAACATTTTGCTTTCTGCTCTTTCTGTTACAGTTTGCTGGCACACTTTCTGATGGGCTAGGGAAGACCATGGACAACAGACATCAGACAGAGCGGGAGTATATTCGATATCATGCAGCCACAAGTGGAGAACATCTCGTGGCCGGAATTCATGGACTTGCTCACGGTATGTAATGAAACTGGAATGTTGGAAGATGATAACCGTGACCACCAGCATTAAACTAGAGGGGGTGTCTGAAGCTTTAAAAAAGTATAGAGAAGGATTGCTAGCTTTGTATGATGAATTTTTTTCACCTCTAGGTTTGTTGCAAATTTTGTTACAGCATCAAGCTCAGTGTGGTTTTCTTTTTAGCCAGTGGACCTACTTCTTGATGGCCTTTAGAAAATGCCCACATCATGTTTTGTTGGCTGTTTTCATTGTCTAGTTTGTAGAACCAGTCATTGTTGCTATTGATACTGAACTTGTATTATGATGAATGCCTGTAGTTGAGCGCCTGAAGAAATTTTTTAATTTAGTACAGAGTAGCTTTTTTTTTTTCTTCAGTCTTGTGCAAATGTGGAATCATCTACTAAACTGTGTTTTGTAGTGTCGTCGGTTGGGGTTTTGAGGGCTTCCATCCCTTAGTTTGGTTTGCACTAAATCCACAAGGTCAACCTGCAGAACCAAGCAGCTTAAAATGCACTCTTTGATTTAATTGCATACCCCAAGATTGTTTGGAGGTGGAGTTGTAGATCTCCAAAAATAATATTACAAAGGTGTGCCCAACCAGGTATTAAGAGATCTTCTAAGGATGAACTTGATGTCAAGTAGTATCATCAGAAACAGGTTATATAGTAGGTATACAATTCTCTAGGGATGCTGAGAAAATTAACTCTGCTTTTGCCAAAGTTGGCAGTAGTTCACCATGAAATGCATTGCCAGTGTAAGCATTTCATACTTAAAATGAAGCCTGTTTCTGGTGGTACCTATGCAACATCATGTCCATCCTCAGATGATCTCTATATAATATTCTTTTTGGAGACTTACAACTGCACCTCCAATATTCCACCTGCACCAGACTTCTTCTGAGGACACCATGGTCCCGTATCTTTGTAAGCATCAACTTTGATCCGAAAGCAAACCAAAAGGTCTAAGTGGATACAATATATTCTTTGCAAACTCCATGTTAGACTGAAGATACTCATGCAAACTCTGCAGATGCAATAAAACCAGACTGTTCTCCATCTTGCTTCTAGAATATTGACTGAACCACCTAAATACCAAAATCCTAAGGGCCCTCCCACCCCCTTTTGTTTTTTTGTTTTCTCCCTCACACACAGAACCATGATGAGATGTTTTTGTTACATTTCAAAAGGAAGATCAGGGTGTCTCTTGCGCCTTTACATCAATTTTTCACTGTGGTCAAGGGGAATATTTCATTTTTTTAAATTATCACTGGATTTGGGTCACCAACATATGAAAGATTAATCTCTCAGTAAAACTGTGATAGACAAAACCAATCCAATGTTTGGACCTTCTCTGCTTCCTTTCACAAATGGCCCATTTTTATATGTATAAAGAACAGTGATGTGCGGTTTACTCGTAGTGACCACTTAGATCTTGCAGAATAACAAAAGCCGATTTCTGATGTCTGTACTTGGTTACCTTGTTAAACAAATTTATCATTTGATTGATTCCTCTCGGATTTACCTGAGGGTAATTTTAACATGATTTTCAAATTTTTGCATGCTTTTTCCCATCACCGTACAACAGGCTCTCTTAACTCTTTTACCACAGAGAAACCCTTCAAGGAGAACTATGAGGTGAGTGATTTACACTTAGCCTCATAGTTAGAGCCGACATGTGACAAACTGTCACAGGTCGACTTTATTGATCAGGAGGTGAGCGAACACATACCATCGCTCACTCACTTCCCGATCATCTCCCTGAAGAGGGCGGTGACTGTCAGTCATCGCTCCCCGCAGGGATTCCCCCCTCCCCTCTCCGATCCTCCAGCGCTGAGTGTAGGAACGGACGTGGAGGGGGCAGGCACAGCTGACTCTGCCTCTAGATAGGCAGAGCCCGCTGTCAATCAGCCAGCAGGGTGGATTTTACCAGAATTGTAATGAGAAGCTCAATGGCCAGCTGAAAGAGAGTTTCCATCATTAAAATGATTTTTTTAAATGTAAGCAGTGTAGGTACCTGAATTTTACCGTGCACCTTCCTCTCGTAGCCCTATATAGCAGGACTGGAGTGTGAAAGGATGAAATTACAATGGAGCCAATAAGGTAATTTGCTGACAAAAAGTATTCTGGTAGGAGGCGAAAGCAGAGTGACAAATGAGCTCATCACTATGCTGCTTCTCCTTTCACTGTCCAGTCACAGGCTGGGGGTGGGTCCACAATAATATGGGCTTAGAGGAAGTGGGTTGAATGATGCTTTCTATCACATAGAGAATATCTAGCTGCAGTGGAAATCTCTGGACTGAAGGTGAACATTGCAACAAAAGCTTTTTTTGTTATTTTGTTTTTATTTTTAATGGGCTGTATATTTTATCAGGTTGTTTTTTGACTGGAGTTTCACTTTAACCTGGTAGCATCTGTTGTAATATCAGTACTAGATGGGCCAACCAGATTCAAATATTAACAGCATGTTTTCTTTGCAGGTATCATTGGTGGGCTGACGAGTGTGATCACTTCCACAGTGGAAGGTGTTAAAAATGAAGGGGGAGTCAGTGGTTTTATCTCAGGCTTAGGAAAAGGCCTGGTTGGAACAGTTACTAAACCTGTGGCTGGAGCTTTGGATTTTGCTTCTGAAACAGCTCAAGCTGTGCGAGACACCGCCACACTTAGTGGACACAGGTTAGTACAAAATGTTTGTGCTGAATATATATTTTATATCATAGATCTATTATTTATTTATTACTGACATTTATGTAGCACATTAATGGTGCGTTTTTACACACTTTACATTCACATCAGTCCCTGCCCTCAAGGAGCTTATCTCACATGCATGTGCACTCATACTAGGGCCAATGTAGACAGGAGCCAATTAACCTACCAGTATGTCTTCACAGTGTAGGAGGAAAGCAGATTACCTAGAGGAAACCCACACAACTAAACTTCATGCAGATAGGGTCCTGGCCAGGATTTGAACCGAGGACCGCAGGCAAAAGTATTAGTCACTAAGTCACTGTGAACATCTTTCCTATGTTTCATTCACACATTTTGTAAATTTTGCAAAATGCCTGTGGTTAATTTGGAACTTCAGATGGGGATTCATCTGAAATGCTATACACATAGACATAGAATTAGCTTATATAAATATCCAAATCTGTCTTGAAATTACACAGCAGCATTTGGACTGGAAGAACAAAGGGTAGCCATTTAGGGCTCTTCTGCTCTGTGCTATCCAGAACATGCTTACAGAAGGAGGGAGCAGTTTGCTATTTTACTTTTATTGTCCAATCATAGACTCAGGTGAATCCTGGACCAGGTTGTATTGCTTATCTGCATTGTAGTCTGTAAGGAGGTCCAGCACCTGGCAATGCTGCCTGTTACAACTGATACATCACTATTATATTGCTCTAGAAAGCCCAGCAGAAGTTGGGTAACACTAAGGTCCTAGTCAGTCAGTGAAGGGATATATTTAGATTTCCCGAAAGTGGAACTGGTATTTACACATTAAATGCTACATTTTGGGGGGACTTGTCCTCTAAAAGTATTGTTTTTTTTACGTACTATTGCTATAAAAAAAAAATACTGCTATACTGTAATTTAGCAAATTCTGTCTTCCTATGAAATTCCCTTAATCACTGGCACAGCAGTAATCAGGCTGATATTGGGTGTGCCTTTACTAGTGCTCACTCTTTGTTTTGACAAGTAGCTGTGTGAAGACTTGCAACGGCAATACACGGCAAATTTCTACACGGATGTCTATCACAAAAATGATCGAAATGTCAAGACAATCAAGCACTAACAGCTTAGATATGACCAAAGGTTTGTCAGCACCTATCACACCTACCACTATATGGCGAAAAGCATGTGGATATCCTTCAAGTAATTGAGTTGAGATGTTTCCAGGGTACTGTTTAATGATACAGCATACAGAGACATTTCAGACAATTGTGCCCTTCCAGCCGTGTGGTAACAGTTTGGAGAAGGCCCTTTTCTGTTCCAGCATGACTGTCCCTCTGTGCACAAAGCAAGCTCCAAGGCATGGTTTGGTGTGGAGGATCTCGACTGGCCTGCACAGAGCCCTGACCTCAAGCCTATTTAACAACCGTTGAATTTATCAAAATTGGAGCAGACTATATCTGGAGCAGCCGTGCATGGCAACCAATCAGTTTCTCTCTTTCATTTTCAAATCTTAACTGAACAAATTGAAGAGAGAAGCTGATTGGTTGCCATGCACAGCTGCTCCAGATTTTGTCTGCTCCAGTTTTGATACTCCCCTCTTTGAGTTTCATTGGAATACCAATTTTAGACCAGGTCTTCTAGTCCTATATTACTACCTGACCTTACAAATGCTCTTTTGGCTGAATGGGCACAAATTTCCACTGACACAGGAGGAGGTTTTCATAGCCGCAAAGGTGGGGTCAACATCATGTGTCCGTGGTTTTGAAATGGGATGCTCATGTAGGTGTGATTTGTCAGGTGTCTACAAACCTTTGGCCGGTTAGTGTATTTATATGGTAGGATTGCTAATCCTGTTAGTTGATTCATCTGATTCTGTTTTTAGGATTTAAAGCCGGTTGAAGTTGCTAGAACATTGCTGTGTGTGTATAAGGGGCATTCGGGGTATTACAAGCACGTAATTATTACACCCTATGACTGTATTGCATAGCAGGGTGTGTTAATAATATGCATGGCTAAGCAAATTACTGATATTTGTTGCTTCAAAGTTCACATTTATAAATTTTAACTTAGAGGGTTCCTTGTACTGAATATGGGAACAGTCCTGTCCATGCACAGGGTATTTATTGTACATATATTTGATGGGAGACACCAGTGGCTACAGAGACCTGTAGGGAGGTGGAGAATAGAGAACAACAAAGTGTTTTAACTTCATTTGGCAGAGGAGAGCCATAATCCCCTGGGGCATTTGTTCATTTCACAGCTATGTGTGGTTTGGAATCCAGTTCTAGTTCTGCTCCAAGTGACTCGTTTCTGGCTCTGTCCGCTGCTTGTCAGTCCGGGGATTTTTTCCCCCTCTCCTGTAAAAAAAGAGAAGCTGCTTGTCCTTTTCTTGTTTTCTAGCAGCTTGAAATATAGATTGCTCACAGGGCCTACAAAATGTCACATGAGACTTTTAACATGAATAGCATTTTAAGTCACAAACATTACCCATACAAGAGCGAAAAGCTACAGTTGAAATTATACCGCAGAGTCACAGAGTACAAAGTTTACAGTGGAAAATTCTGGATCCAGACATGATTTGCTATTTGGTCAGGCCACAGTCTTCATAGCTGTAGCTACAAAATTATAGGTAGTTAAAGCTGAACTTCGGGCATATATGAAATACACAAGTAAAAGTAGCTCTACATTCATTAATGCATCAATAAATTTATTTTCTACATGCAAGCAATGCAAGCACCGGCTGTTTGCAGTCCCTCTACAACTGAGTTCAGACTGGGAGAGGGAGATGTAGCACAAGGAGATAGTCAGTCAGTCAGTTGTGCTGCAATTTCAATGTGCTAACAGGGAACATACCTCACGAAGGAAAGAAAGGAGAGATGACCATCTTTTTACCGCTTCTCCTTTTACTCTCCAGTTACAAGCTGGGGGAGGGGCAAGACCTGCAAGTGTTACTTAAGAGAACTATGGGGTGAGGTTTTTTTCCCCATAGTTCTCTTAAGGGTCACGGGAGGACATGTACTAGCATCCTCCCATGACCCAAAGCTCAGTATATCGCGAGCTACAGCTCGCGGTATACTGAGACTGCCGCAGCCGGGACGGATCCCGACATTACTTTTGAGATCCACCCAGCTGCGTGAGTGTCAGCGGACTCTGCAGTGAGATGATCGAGAAGTGAGCGAGTGATGGTATGTGTTCGCTCACTTCCTGATCTATTGAGCCGATGTGTGACAATTTCATTGTCACACGCCGGCTCGAACTATGACGATGAGTGATTTTCACTCACCTCATAGTTCTCCTTTAACTAAAGCAGGGATGTGCTGTACGGCAGAGCTGTGTTCATTTTGGAATAGGATGTCCAAAAAGCTCGTATAGTTTTGATGGTCAGATTTCTACAAACTTTTGGGTATATATTATACTGTGCCATGAACTCACCGGATCACATACACAAACACTTGCCACGTTGTGGGGCGGGAGGGGTGCGGTGGTGCCTTTCATTCGAATGGCACTGCAGACACGCCTCCCGCCCACAGTGCCAACACCCGCATTGGAACACGTGGTTTCGCAATGCCCTGCGTTCTAGTATTGTGCAGTCACAAGAAATTGTGCAGGACTAGTTAAGGCTAAAGGGAGAAATCATTAGAGGGAGTTGGAGGGGATGCATATTGCCCAAATGCAGGAATGTGAAGAGCTAGGAGTAGGAGCCACATTTCCTGGGCAATAGGATGTCGAAAGACAAACCTGTAGGCATATTTCCTGAAAACAAGACATTTACAAATGAAGAGCTAGAAAGAGGAGGTTGAAGTGCAGCCACATTGCCTGGGCAACAGGATGCTAAGTGGCAGGCACTTGTGTCACCAGAGGTGAACCAGGAGGTAGGCAGATGAGGCAGGATTGCAGGGAGCTCGTTGGAAAAAGTCTTTAAGTTCCTCCTCAAGGGCCTCGTACATAGCTAGATATATGTTGTTCCTTACCTCTTTGCCTTTTATTGTTCACTACTTTTTTTTGTTATGAAAACACGTTTCCTTCTGTTTGGCTGAACTCTTAAATATTTCTCAAGCCTCTGAGGCCCAGAACAATACAGTTCTCATTACAGCCAAGTTATGAAACTTCCTTATTTCCTGTGAAAAATAAAAACTGAACAGTATTGTTGTTGAATAAAATGGCTATATGGGTAGGCTCGAACACGCTTGCTTTTTTAGTATTTTGTTTGCCGTGTTTAGGCGTTTTATTTTTGTAAGCCATTTGATTCAATATCAGTCAGAAAGGCCATGGAAAAAGAAGCAGTAATTCGCAGAATGCTGCAACCCCTGGCAACCCAATAAGAAAGGTCCACCTGTGAATTTGACAAATGAAAATGTAAAATAAATGTCATATATATATACCTCCTCATGTATCACTTGCCCCTCCCTTTTAGATTGTAAGCCCTCACGGGCAAGGCCCTCCTTACCATCTTGTCTTAAATTGTATTGTGACTGTAATGTCTTCCTTACATTGTAAAGCGCTGTGCAAACTATTGGCGTTATATAAATCCTGTATAATAATAATAATAATAATATAAAATCAGATCCCAATAAAATGAGCATTAACATTGAGTTCACACGCACACACACGCACCTCCCTATGTGCAGCTATAAAAGCCTCTACTCTCTTCTTCTGGGAAGGCTTTCCATAACATTTTGGAATGTGTCTTTGGTAATTTGTGCCCATTTAGCCAAAAGCACATTCATGAGGTCGGGTACTGATGCTGGATGAGAAGACTTGGCTCACAAACAGTGTTCCAGTTCATCCCAAATAATATTAGGTTTTGTTGAAGTCAGGGCTCTGTGCACAAGACCACATCACACCAAATTCATCAAAGCATGAAGCTGGCTTTGTGCACTGTCCTACTAGAACAAAAAAGGTTTTTCGGTGGTTTTCTTTTTATTACGTTTATCTACTGCTAGCAAGCACTATAGCATGCCCCGACGTTTAAAGAAAGTGGAGTGACCAAACAAAATTTACCT